CTTCTATATCTAAACTTCACAAGGCTTAATCTTACTTATGTTGTTTAACAGCTCAGCTAGTATGTTAATACCCCATCTCAGTCTCATTGGAATGCAGCACTGCATGTCTTGAAGTATTTAAAGAAATCAACTTCCAAAGGTCTTTTCTTGCTAGTATAGAATAACTTTCAATTACAGACCTTTTATGAGCAGATTGGGGTGCATGTCACGATACAAAGAAATCCTTGACTAGCTATTGTATTTTTTTTGCATCATCCTTAATATCCTAGAAAAGCGAGAAGCAGACAACCGTCTCTCGCTCATCTGCAGAAGTTGAGTATTGTAGCATGACAACAACAGTTTGTGAACTCAAATGTGTTATATACTTGCTACATGATTTTGGCATTTTTGTTTCTTGTCCTATTCTATTTTTTTTTATAATAAGGTAGCTCTTCGTATTGCTGCTAATCCCATTTTTCACAAACGCGCTAAGCACTTGGAAATTGATTGTTATTTGGTGTGCCATGAAATTAACTAGGGTTTCATTCTCCCTCAGCATGTTTCTAGTTAGTAGCAGCCATCAGATATCTTCATCAAATCTCTTCCTTCTCCTTAGTTTCATTATCTCCTATTTAAGTTGGGATTGGTAAACTTTCACAAATCTCCAACTTGAGGGGGGGTGTAGATTATGGTGTATACATCACCTTTTGCGTGATGTGTCAGTGTGCCTAGTTATTTTTTTGTTGTTAAGTAGTTTTTTAATGGCACCTTTTTGTTATTTCTTTTGCTAGCTAGTTATTTTTTATTTCTCCGTTCACAGCTATATATATATATATATATGTAAATTTCTCCAGCATTCATTTCAAAGAGAAAAATATCAAAAAAAAAATTTCTCTCAATTAAATCTATTTATTTTGAAACTGCTTAAATACTATATATTTTTTTTAAAGATTACTCATAATTTACATAGTTAACTAAATATTTTTTTCTTAAATAAAAATCAACATGTTAATGAATGGGTCGAGAGATAGAGATAAAAACTCTATAAGTCTATCATCACTTTTTCTCTTTATTTATTGTCTTACATTAAGTTATAGTATTATGACTCATACATTAATTAGTTAGTTTTTGACCCACTAGTTATGTATATCTATATATTAAAATTAGTTGGTTAATAATCTATTATCCTAAGATATTATTTTTGGTTTTCCTGACTAACTTTTATTTTTAATTTAAGATAACTTTTTCAATTTATATATCATCATTTTTTTTTTTTTCAAAAATATATACCAAAAGAATTAGTAGGTGGGTAACTTATAGCTTTATGGAGGGTAAACTTTCAAGTGTAATCTATAGCACGTTGTACCCAACTTAATTTCCACACAAAAAAAAAAAAAAAGCTAACATTTGATTTCCTCCATTTACAGTTATTATGGTTTTATCGGTCTCGCCGACGTTTCTGTACAATTTTTTTTTTTTGCGTAAAAGAAAAGGAGAAAAATGGAAAATAATAACAACCAATTGGAAAGAGCCACGTAAGCCGAGCATTTGTATTCGTTGTCAGCGGTGACAGAGTAACTCTCCCCATCTATGTGGGGCCAAATCCACGTGGCGGGTCACACGTGTACTCCCAATGCCAATTCGCAATTCCCCAAGCTGAAAACTATTTATAACGATGATTTGATCCCTCTCATGGCAAGAGCTTGGATCTTGTGATTTAAAAACAAATATAATTGTACATTTTAAAATTAATAGGGCACGAGAGAACTTGTCGTGTGCCACTATAAAAAATAAACTAATATTTTATTGGAATAAAAAATTTGATAATTAAATAATCAGAAATTCAATAAGTATATATTTTTCTAACAATTTTTTTTTTTAAAAAAAAGATCTTTTATTATTATTATTATTTTTTTTTTATAGGAGTTAAAATTAAAAATAAACTAAAAAATAATATAAAATTTTTTGGGGTAAAAGTCAGTATGTGATACTACACGCTTTGTCCCACTTTGTGGACTTTTTTTTCCTCATACAAATGTTTTCTTTAAAAATCTCACCGTCAATTTTATTTATTAAAATGGTAAAATGAGAAAATGAATTTTTGGGTTTTCAGTACTAAAAGATCATAGTTGGGTCTGGGGTCCACAGATGGCCAGCATGTGAAATAAATAAATAAATATATATATATATATATACTTGTTATAATATGAGCATTATACCCTAAAAGTTCCTCCACCTTTGTTTTTTTCAGTAATCTCTAATCCCGCTTTTTTAAATTGGCAGACATGCTTAAATTAAGCAGGATTTTTTTTTAAATATAAAACACTAACGTTTCTTAGCTGTTCGCATTTGTTTATTTATATATATAAAATATTCTATAAATACACATTTGTTTATTTATTATTGGGTAGTGAGCTCAGAAATAACTACAGAAACGCCACATAACTATATAATGTGGTGTTCTTCATTTATATATAATAAATATAATATAATACAATAGTTACACCATCTCCACATATAGTATAATTTCTGTATTATATTATATGTTTTCCCATAAAATTAAACTCGACCCAATCATCTACTTTTTAAAAAAAAATCAATAATGTAGAATCGCAAATTTAGATTAAGATTAAAATTTCATTCAAATCTGTCCTTATCCTCCATCAATTTATTTTATATCCACTAAAAATGGTACAATTTAATCAAATGTATTTAACATAAAATAAGGTAGATTACTTATTTTAATACTCATGCTATTTAAATAGTTAGCGATTCCTATAAATAAAATATTATTTTAAAATTTAGAGGCCAAACCAAATGGGACTTTCTTATGAAATTTCGTCACACACTTATGATTTATTATTTGAATAATTAAATGCTGTGTCATTTAATATGTCCAAATTAGGTATAAGTTTTTATTTTCAATTTTGAAAAAAAATATAATTTAATATTTTTTGAAGTATAATATGTAATGTGAGGGAGAGAAAGCTGGTTGGGAAAGTGGGCTTAGGGCTAGGGTTGAGTACACGGTGAGGGATGGATTTAAAAAAAAAAAAAAAAAAAAAAAAAAAGGAAGAAGAAGTAAACGGTGTGAGGAACGGCCACGTAGGCATAGTGACATGGTGAATTAGTTGCACACGTGGCGGGGCCCCTGGATTTCGCGATAGCGAGGGAATGAAAAAGCACGCAAAGCGACAAAAGGAGGAGAAAGGGATTCATCCATTATGGTGGGGTCAAACAATTTCTGGTGGGTCCATGCGCTGACGTGGCCACAATAGTTTCCTAAAAATTAATTCTTTTTGTTTGGGGTATTTGATAAAATCACTTTGCTGTGCAAGAAAAGTCTACACCACTCAACTTGCAAGTGTGGACAAGGAAATAAGATACGAGCCCCATTCAATGTCTTACCCAGCCTAAAATTATTATAACCTTAAAAACAAAATTATTAAAAAGATCTCCATTCAATGGATAATTAAAAAATTTCTACCTCCCCCCCTCCCACGTCACCAATATACGCTCCCGTCTTCTATTCCACGAAAACAGCCGGTGAGATTATCATCTTTATATATATTTTTTTTATCTACAGATGTTTTTACTGGTTTTTTGATGACAATGGAAAAGTGGAAGCGTAGCCAATAACAAGATCCAAGGCGATGAGTTTGCAAGAAAAATATGTCCACGTGTCGTCAATTGCTGATTGACACGTCGGAAAAGCTACTTTGCCACGCTGGATAAGCTTTTTTTATTTGGTATCCTTCGAGCGACTGGATTCTGTTACCAGTCACTGGGGTTTTTTTTTTTTTTACACTCTCACTTCATTCATTTTTTATCTTTTATTTTTCTGAAACCTAGCGGTTACCGAGCGAGCAGGTTTTTTATTAAATTATGTTTTTTAAAATATTAGGTGGGACCCAATACACGTCACCGCATACCGGGAACGTGACAAGAGGCCAACGCGAGGAAATAATTTCTAGATCGGCAGCTGCTTGTGGGCCCCGCAATTCTCGGAAGTTCCGTGACCGTGACTCCGAGTTCCTTTTCCCTCGCTGCCCCGAGAATCCTAGCCGTTGGTTGGATCCATCCGAGGGTCCAGATGAGGCGCGCTGTTCGACAAGCACGAGCCTCTCGGTTCGGTGCCAACTAGGACTTGTTTGTTCGTTGGCGTCTGGGTTGAAGGTGGGTTTCTTTAAATGGGGCGATTGCCACGTCAGATCAAGATCTAAGGGCGGATGAAGTTGCCTTCAGCGGTTGCGAGATATCCTGACCATTGATTAGTATATTCGGTCGCTTTCGAACGGGCCCACATGTCAATTTTGGAAACATACTGTAATTTTTTTTACTCTCGTCTCATAATCATCTCTGTTAATAATTAGTTATTTTTTTCTTTTTTTTTTTTAAAAAAAAAAGAGAAAATGCTAATTAATATAAAAACGTGGAACCGAAATAATGAATTTGACCGGTTGGAACGATATTTTCTGCGGTCACCTAGATTCCTTGTGATCGTCATGTTGCTTTTACCAAGATCACCGGCAACCGGAAATAGCCGGTGAAGACATCTCTTTGGGAAAATAAAGGGTTAATTTTGATCGTGATTCGTGGGCAACAGTACTCTACACACACTCTCTCTCTAGGAGAGTACAAAACTTTGACAATAATTTTTTAATTTTTTATTATTTTTAAAAGATATTAATATATCTACATATATAATTATTATTTTAATTAAAATAATAATTATATATGTAGATATATTAATATCTTTTAGGTATAGAATATTGTACCAAATCGGTAGTGAGTAAAGATGGAAGCTTGGGAGGGAAGAAAAAGGGTGACACGTGGGCATGGAGAGCATAAACATAGTGAAAATCCCAAATGAAGGGTTGAGATTTTGCCATGTTGGTCTGAGCAAATTAGAGCGGTTGGATGTGAGTGGTGATGGAGGGTTTGGATTGCGTAATGAATTGGAAGGAGTGATCTTGTCCGTCCATTTTGCCTCTAGTGGTAGTGAAATAGCCCAAAGATGATGAGATGAGAGCACAAAAAGAGAGAGAGAGGGAGATGAGGTGATAGGAATTAGGAAGAGCAGAGAAGTAATTATAGAAAAAGGAGAGAGAGAGAGAGAGAGAAAACATAACATCTTTTGATTTCAGTCTTCTGCTTTGCCCTATCTTTCTTCTGCCCTAACTCAGCTCTGGAACAGACGGCCACACATAACATCCATTTCCGCCCAATTATGCCAGCTTCTCGGTGATGACACATCAGGTTTTCATTCTGTCTACACTTGATTTCTTTCAAACACAACCAAATCCTAACTGCAGATGGATAGAAACAGAGAAGCAAGAAGAGTAACCATGGCCGCCGCTACAAATGGCTTGTCCAGAAGAAGGCATAGAACCACTAGTCTCAGAGATTCACCAGGTCCTAAATTCTCCTCAGATCTGTCCTCCTATGCCAATAACCACTTTTTCCCTTCCCCCCTTCTTATCTTTATTTGCCTTTGCAGATGAAGATGGTCCGATAGAGTTGCAAGAATCGGGTAGGCTAAGAGATCGAGGAGGGAGTACTAAGAAAGATCGAGATCGGGACCGGGACAGAGACCGGGACAGGTTGAGCAGCAGGAGCAAGAGGAGGAGACCCGATAGGTTGATGCACGGCAATAGGGAAGATGGTGGAGATGATAGCTCAGAGGACAGCGTAAACGATGAGGACGAAGAGGAAGACGACGACGGAGGCGGAGGTGGTGCAGGAGGAGCAGGAATATCATCCTCTTCGATGAGAACACTCCCACCGAGTACGTCGTCCTTGTCTTCTTCCTCCTTGTCCAACCATCATCACCACCAAAACAATACCCAGCATCAGCTACACCACCATCGGAAGAGCTACCCCCCGCCGGCGAAAGTTTTTAGAGCAGCGCCGGCGGTACCGGTAGCTTCCACATGGAAGGTCGCCGATGAGATGATTGGCGTATCCGTGCCCAGAAAAGCCCGGTCAGGTAGAGAGGTGGAAACTGGAAAGAGCAGATTTTCACTATTTCTCTTTTGCTTTTGTATTTATCGATTTGGGATTTAACACGTGTTCATGTTTTTGCCTTGGTTATAGCTTCTACCAAGAGGTCTCATGAATGCTGGGTATCGAGTGCTGGCGGTGTTGTTGCTGGTGAGCAAGTTCTCCGGCAAGCCTCTACCTCACCGGTGAGGGGTAATCCATCGGTGATATTGACGGCTCCATCTCCATCTCCGTCGCCTGCTCCGGCTCCGACCTCGCCGTCATCTTCCAACGCCTCAGTGAGGAAGAAGATGGTCAGTACTCTGATTCAGTTTGTGGTGTTCTTCTCTTCCATCTAATCCATGGATTTTGTGATGTCAAATGGAGTAACAAGGTCTGTTTTGATGTAGAAGCCCAACGGACACAAGCAAAGGCCACCAAAGTCGTCTTCGAAAGCTTCTTCTTCGGCTCAGGAGGAGATTGAGATCGAGATTGCGGAGGTCTTGTACGGGATGATGAGGCAGCCACAGGTTCCGTCGAAGCAAGATACTACAGGAAATGATTCGATGAAGTTCGATTCAAGAGATGCTAGTAACAACAACGATAATAAATCTACAGGTGATGCCAAATCCAGAGTTTCTTCGCCGATCTCTAACTCTCAATCGACTGTACCTCAGTCATCTTCCATTTTCCCTGCAAATTCAAGCTCTTCTAATGCGCCCATGTCAGCTATTGGTCAGTCGCCGGAGCTTTCTTACTTTTCAGGCTACAACTTTTCTTGTGAATTCCTGCATCCCGATAACGCGAGTAATTATTGACTGATACGATTGGTTTTTTTTTGTGTGGATTTAATCTGCAGCACCCAAGAGGAAAAGACCTCGACCGGTTAAGTACGATGACGAGAATCCTTCGGGGTTTCCTGTTCGGAATAGTCCCATTTCGGCATCGAAGGTGGAGATGGACCAGCCAGCAAAAATTGAAGCTTCTTCACCTACTTTGGAGAAGAATTCAGGATCTGCTGCCGAAAACGGTAGTGTTTCATACGATTTGATAAATTCACAAGTCCCTGCTGCAGTGCCGGCTATACCGGAGCTGGTGCCGACGGAGGCCATGAAGCCAGATATCAGCGTTGCATCAGATTCCAGACATTTGACCGAAGAATCAACGAGTAAGGAAGTGGGTGTCACCACCAAAGAGGAGCCTCAATCGCCCAAGAAGGAATCACCGCGTGGAGTCAGATTGGATGACGATCGTGATAATCTGGCGGTGAATAAGTTGTGAGCATCAAAGATCGAGTTTTCCCCTTAAATCCTCTTTGTGCTACTATTTCTGGAGTCTGAGTATTTATTTTTGTTTGTGTTTGTTTAGGAATTCAACGGTTACCGAGATTGAGAACCAAAAGGAAGAGAAATTCCAGATAGATCTGATGGTGAATATCTAATTTTGGCGACAGAGATCGTTTCAATTTAATTTTCTCTTTTTTTTTTTTATGAATCCTCAAAACAGAGAAGTTTAAGATAATTTTCTCTTTCTTTCTTTCTTATTCTGGAGTGCCGCTATGATTTACAGGCTCCTCCATTAAGATCATCTCCAGATAGAGACGGGGAGATAGAATTTGTGGGTGTAGATCCCAAACCTATGGCCACAGATGTGGAAACGGTGAGTGGACCCCACACATTTGTTACTCTGTTGCTATGTGGGAAGATGGAAAGTTGAAAGGACCTACTTGGTTTTGATGTGCAGGAAGTGAAGCCGACGTTGAAGGAGGATGAGAAGACTGTAAAAGATATTGTCAAGGAAGATGCAAATTTGGAGCTTGAAGAGAAGAAGGCTAAAACTGTTGCAGAAGAAGGTGAATCCCATAAACAAGTTGTCAGTAAAGAGAGGAATATTGATCTCCAACTTGACTTGGAAAAATCTGATAGAGATTCTGCCTCCAAGCTACACCACCATGCCCAAAAGCAGCTTCAACCCCAGCAACAGCCGCAGCAGCAACACCCGCACCAGCAGCAATCAAACATTGAAAAAGCAGGTAAGAGAAAATTCCTTTTTTTTTTTAAATAGTTGGAGAATACTCTCTGCTTTTCAATTTTCTGGTTAATTAGGTTTTCATCTGTTGATTTTCTTTTGTTAATTTCTAGCTCAACCGAGTTCTTTGCCGCTGCCTATGTCTATGGCTAGCTGGCCGGGTGGGCTTCCTCCAATGGGGTACGTTTGCTTTATTCTTTTTTCTTTTTTCGGGAGTTCTGGGCTTAGGGGAGTCTACCTTCTGTAGAAATTCATTCAGTTTTGTTCAGCAGATACATGGCCCCTTTACAAGGAGTAGTATCCATGGATGGAAGTGCTTTATCATCTGCAGCCATACAGGTACCGTTCTTTCCTCTGCCCTAATTAAACCAAGTGATATTTTTGTAATTCCATCTTTCTCATCAAAATTTCAACTTGTGAAGCCTCCACAATTGCTGTTTAATCAGGCCAGGCCAAAAAGGTGTGCGACGCATTGCTACATTGCTCGAAATATTTACTATCACCAGCAATTTACAAAGATGAATCCTTTCTGGCCGGCAGCAGCTGGTTCGGCAGCTCCATTGTATGGAGCTAAGCCCTGCAATCTCAACGTAGTACCATCTGCAGAGTTGCCTGGGACAATTCCTGGAAGGGGTGTCAATTCTGTACAGGACAAGGGGCAGGGTCTTACAATCTTTCCTGCACATGGTGGAAAGGACAAATGTTCTCAATCTGCCAACAGTGTGGATGCTACGCAGAGGAAGCAAATCTTGCTCCAGCAAGCTCTACCTGGAGCGACTAGTAATATCTTGGTATGTTTTGATTTCTTAATTTGTCAATATTTTACTGAGATTTTTTCTTTGTAATTTCTTTGATTTTCATTTTACTTTTTTAAATTTTAGCATGGCCCCGCTTTTATCTTTCCTTTGAGCCAGCAGCATGCTGCAGCAGCAGCTGCAGCTGCTTCTGTTCGGCCTGGCTCCGTGAAGTCTCCTCCCACAACAGGTAGTGCAGCTACGCCTAGTGCACCAAATTCTGCTTCTGTGAGTGCCACAGCAGCTGCAGCAGCCACAGCAATGAGCTTTAACTACCCAAATATGCCGGGCAATGAAACTCAGTATTTAGCCATCTTGCAAAATAATGCTTATCCATTTCCAATTCCTGCACATGTTGGTGCAGCTCCTGCGTATAGGGGATCTCATGCGCAGGCACTGCCCTTCTTCAATGGATCTTTCTATTCATCTCAGATGCTTCATCATACCCATCTTCAACAACAGCAGCAGCCACCCATACAGTCACAGCAAAGCCAGTCAGGTCATCAGAACACTAGCATATCCAGTGGGTCCTCATCATCTCAAAAGCATCTACAAAATCAACAGCAGAGACCTCATGGAAGTGGCATGAATGGAGGCAACAGTGTAAGCCTGCTAGGTTTCCCTGCCTCAAAAAATCAATCATCTCAGACCCTACAGCTTCAGCACCGTCAACAGCCAAGCCAACTTGCTCCTCATCAAGCTCGACAACTTGAGAATGAGACTGGGGGTGAGGATAGTCCATCAACTGCTGACAGCCGGCTTTCTCGCACAAACATGAGTATATATGGCCCAACTTTGCATTGCCTGTGCAACCAAAATTTTTGCTTTAATGACTGCTGCTTCAGTTGGCGGCATGTCAACTTCCAGTGGTAGTCATGGGGAAAAGAAGCAACAGCAGTCACAGCCACAACAACAGGGTTCAAAGGCTGGTGTTGAGCCTTTCGCAATGTCATTTACTTCTATAAATGGTGCTACTGCTGCTTCTGGCCTTGATATTTCCTCCATTGCACAGAATCATGCTATTCTCCAGGGCCTTCCGGAGGCTGCTAAGCAGAGCTATCAGATAATGGCAGCTGCTGTTGCTGTTCAAGCTGCACAGCAGAAAAAGAATTACCGCGTTTCTGAAGATGGGAAGTCTGTGGTCTCTGATGTCTCTAACGTGGAGGATGAAAGGAAGGCCGCTGGAAAGGCTCCTGCAACTGTTGGGCAGTCCATTGCTTTCTCTAGGACAGATTTGACCGACTCATCTGTCTCAACAATAGGAGGCAGTAGTGTTATTGATAGCTCCGCACGAACTCTTAATCTTGGTTCTGCTTCGAGGACCTCTGGCTCTGTTATGCCAGCTGCTATTACTGTTAATTCTTCAAGTGCTCAACAGCAGTTGCAGCGGAATCAACAACAGCAACAACAGCAGCAGATGATGCAGCTTCATAAGCAGCATCAGTTTGCAGCTGCAGCAGCTGCTACGGCCAGAACAAAGACACCAGCAACTGGGGTTTACTCGGATCACCATTCTGCATCAACAATGGCAGCAAAATTTCCTAATTCCCTGTCTAATTTCCCACAAAATCTTGTTCAAGGCAGCAGTAGTCCCAGCCAATCTCCTCAGTGGAAAAATTCAACTAGGACAACCACTTCTCAAGTCCCTTATGCGTCTCTGGCATCATCAACTTCGTCATCCCTAAAAAACCTTCCCCAACAGCAAGGACGATCCCAGCAAAGCCACACACAGACGCACATATCTTTTGCATCTACCCCAAAATCATGTGCAGCTCCCCAAGGGCAACAGCCTCCCGCCACAAACCAGTCCCCGTCTCCTCCTGTGGTGGTTGGCTCCCCCTCAACTTCAGTTACCAAGAGTGCTGGTGGTAGCCCGAGAACCAATCCATCTACTTCTGCGGGTAACAAAGGTGGCCAAGCTTCCTCTACTTTATCGTCTCAACCATCCAAGAACTCACAGTCAGTGCCCAGCCGGAAGTCTTCTCCAGTTGGTGGAAGAAATGTTCCATCTATTCTTGGAAATCCCCATGTGACCTCTGCAACTACTGGATCAAAGATCCAACTGCCTCAACAACAACAGCAGCAGCAACAGCAGCAGTTACCAAAGCATGCATTGCAACAAGCGCAGCTTTTCTTCTCTGGGGCTTATATGCAGCCTCAAGCACAACATTCAACTAATGCAATTGCTGCAACTGGTGCAAGTGGGTATTACCTTCAGAGACATCGAAATGACCAACAGCAGCCGCAACAGCTTCAGCCACCTGGGTCATCTGTGGCATCCTCTACTGGGATGCTGTCCATATGTTCTTCAGTTACACTTGCTAACAACAGTAATTCGGATCCTGCAAAGGCCATTGCTGCAGCTGCTAGCAGTATGAAAGGTGGAGGGCTATCTTCCCAGGGTCTGATCCATACTGCACCTTTTGATACGGCACAATCCTCTTCTAAGCCACATCAACTTGTACCTGCTGGTTTCTCTTACGTACATGCTGTTCCCACTGCAGTGCAGGTGAAACCCGCAGAGCAGAAGCAACCTGCTGGTGAGTAGAATCAAATATCCAAAGAGTGCTTT